GGAAAAAAAATTGCTGATGTAATATTTTCCCTATAATTACTACAAAAACATAAAATAAGTAAAAATAAATATTTATATTTGTGTACAAAGCTGTTTAGATTGTCAAAAAGCCTGTGTTTTTAGGGTTATTAACGAAGCTCATGTACTCAGACCAGTAATATTTGGGGTCACAAGTTTTTGCCATGGATATTTTGTGGGTCAGAGGACAAAAAGTTTAGGAACCACTGCTTTAGAGCATTTAATAAATTATCACCCTCCGCTGAAAACTGCAAAAATGAAATAAATGCCAGTGTGTGTATCTTGACCTCTTGCAGAGAATGAATCCGCCTTAAATGTCCTCAGCTTTTCTTGTTGTTGAAAATTGAAGTCAGCAGGACCCAGTTTAGGGGGACAAGCCATGTTATGAAGCCAAAAAAAGGTTAAAAAGCAAAATAACTGGACTTCCATACTGAGGTATTATTTTTAACTTCAGAACAGAAATCCAGTTGTTTTTCATTTTTAGTCTTTTTTTTATCATAACTGATGAATTTGTTTTATACACTATCAAGTCATATTAAGTTGATCATGTCCTTGCATGAAAAGTGATGGGTGATATGCATTCCCTCAATAAATGCTGGGCTTTTAATGACATAAGATTCTAAATCATTAGTTTTTTTATGACCAATATTTAGATGTTTTATTGAAAATATTGTTTTAAGGATTACAATTTTTTTTCTCCTTTACGAAAACGTGTAGTTACTTTGCAGCCAAAACACAAACAAGAGACAAATTCAGATTTTTACACTTGAACATTTATTTGCAGAATATAAAGTCATACATAACAATCAGCTGGACCAAAATAGAGCATCATTTAGTTATCAGAGTTTTGGAACAGAGTCATAACGATCATGTTTTTATTCCCCTTCTWATGAACTGAACAACTCACCCTGCTGTCCATTCAACAAGGAGACCTCCTCCCTGCCTTTAACAGCTCGGTAAAAGAAGTCCTGCAATCTAATAAAAATATGTATGGTTATTGTTCAATGTGTTTTAACTAATCTGTCCCTTATCTCTTCTGAATCATACCAGAGTGCACACTACTACTTAATCACAGCTTAAAATTAACTTGATTTGATTTGATTTATTCATTTATTCATTTCATTTAAAACAAAAAAGTTTACATTACAAAAATGCAAAACTTATATCACAAAATAAAATGAATGAATGAAGAATGAAGAAAAAGTCTTATACTATCTGCCCCTTTTTTACAAAGAAAAAAAGAAGAAAAAATATTAAAAATCTTCTGGTTACAAAAATACAACAAAACAGAAACAACAACAAATAAAACTTACATAAATACCTTTTATTATAATTTATATTTGTTCAATAAACCAAGTTTAATCATTCTTTTAAACACAAACTCCAGCGTTTCTAACATCACTCTCCAGATCATTCCACARTTTCACTCCGTGTATCGACGTACACCTTGATTGCACATTGATTATAAAACATTTTCAATAAAATCAATCAATTCCTTACACCCCTAAATGTAAAATTTTAGAAGAAGCRTTTTTAGAAATCTTGCAGTCTAGATGAATAACACTGTGTCTACTTGATATTAAAAATCAAGTTTTCACATAATTTTATACCTCCAAGATAGTTTCACTTTATCCTGAAAACAACAAATATTTCTTTACTTTTTAACTTGTCTAAAATGTGATTATATTTTGGTTTGTTAAACATAGCAAAATCTGGAAACATTAATTGTTTTAAAACTTTTTTTTGTATTAGTCTTTTATTGATGTTAAAAATCCATCTGGTTTAAATTTGCATCTGCACAAGACACAGATAAAGAAGCAAACAATCTSCTTTAGGTTATTTTCGGTTGTTCTTGTTTTCATTTTTAATATTTAGGGCATGTGAAAGATTTAAAGCTGTCTGTCCCTCTTGGAGGTTGTTTTGTGTGAGAGAGTCTCTTCTTTAACCCGCAGGACTTGCCTCCAGCTCTTGTGTTACAAAGCAACAGACTAACTGAAGAGTGCTTTAGAGATTTGCTGAAATTCAAGGCAGACTGTGAAGCTTACGGTTTTTGTTGCGGCCATTTTTTGGAGAAGACAAGAACTCTCCATGAGACATGACTTCTCAGCAGTGTTAGATATTGTTATTGTGCTTTTCTCAAGTTCTAGAACTTATTTTTGTTTGTTTTAATGTCAAATATTATAAATTACACTTTATATGATGCACTATTGTATGCTTCACAGAGAACACTCATTTATGTCCTTCTGTTTTCTGATGTTAATCTATAAACTGAAAGTTAAGTTCATGTAAAATGGAGTTTTTTGTCCCGAGACTGTTAGAGACTGCTGGTGACTCAAAATTAGGAAAAACAAAACAAACAATAAAATGGGCATAAATTAAGTTGCAGTTTTAATAGATTCAGCGTGACAGTAAAACTGTTCTGTAGTTTGGAGAAATAGAATTTATTTCTGATTGGATTGATGAGTTAATGTGTCGATGGAGCAGGACCAAGAACAAAATGAACTGCTGGCATCTTAAAACAAATTAAATTCATAAACGCCGTCAGATCTTTTTTTTTTTTTTAAATCTCTGACAAGTTTTCCTAACACAACTTCTTTTGCGGAAATACTATTGAAGAAATTCATAGTTATTAGAGATTAGTACTGATTTTAAAAGCACAACATTATATTTTTAGGTTTTCTTTTTTATAAATATAATAATGTTTTATAATAATGTTTTGATTGATATAGATTAGTTACACGTCCGAATTATAACAACACATAATCAAAACGTAATGAGAACAGTAGATAAGATTTTGGTTTGAATGCCTGTGATTCAGCYGTAGGTCAGTAGGGGGCGAACRCAGGCATTGAAGAATCATGTATAAATTGATGAACTTCCTGGCTTTTGGCCAGTGTGGTTTCCTGTCATCTCCAGTGGCAATAAACCTCACTCGGTTCCAGAATTCTGGTTTTGTATGGTTTTATTCCTTCTGCAAATCAGTTTATTTAACAATGGTGGTTTTCATATTGACTTCAGTCGATTGAACACGTATTTTCTTACACTATGATGGAGGTTTTGGCTGCAAGGAAGTCCTRTATACACCCCACTATATTCCCAAAACAAAACAGACAGTATGCAAAAATAATTGTGTAATTCACAGCTAACATAAAACTTGGACAAAAAACACTCACATAAGCCGTTATAAAATTTGAGCAGTTTTGGGTTGTTTTTAAGATGGCCCCAATCTGATTTATCCTAACTGAGCTCTTTCAAAGAATTATCCACTACAGGTAAGATAGTAATTATTCATAGCATTTCCACAACACCCCACTTTAAAACGTCTGAACCGTCTCTTTAGAGATTCTGGAAACATTAAGACATAAGTAAGTTGAGCTTTTTCCACGTGGCAAAAATATATAACAAACAAACAAACACACGTGTGTGCACTGCTGCACACTGCTGATACAGAGCTGAGCAGTGCGCTACATCTACAGCCACATCCACACCTTCCTCCATGCATCCAGACACACACACAGTAGAAACATACACAAACCTCACTAATGAGGAAGGAAATCTTTTTGTTGTCATCTCTGTGTGTACCTCTGCCAGTCGCTGTCACAAAAAGTAAAAAGTCTGAAGCTTTTTGTCTTTTATGTGTGTGTGTGTGTGTGTGTGTGTGTGTGTGTGTGTGTGTGTGTGTGTGTGTGTGTGTGTG